CCAAAATCTAGGGATGCAAGGAACACACAGGCTCTCTGACAGCTCTTCGAGAATCGCATCTAACAAAGAAAAACTTCAGCTTCCATCCCTTGTTGAAGGAGGGGAGCCCAGAAATCAAATTCGTCGTCTTACCCTTTTGGCAAAATACAAAAAACCCTAAGGAATGGGAAGATTTAAGCTGGAAGAAGGAGGCAAATTCTCGAATGGTGGGGGGAAAGTCATTCCCACTCTCGAACCAGTGAATAAGGAATCCAATTAGAAGACCCCAGCCATTCGGAGAAAGCCGAGCTGGAAAAACATTATAAAAAACAAGAACATTTCAAAAAAAGGGATGAACAGGAAATCGGATACCAACCTAGAATGCAAATTCAAAGAAACAGGTCAACCCGGGAATTGATGAATTGCACCTTTCATGCTCCTTAGGAGAATGCAAGGATACATAATCAAGAAAATTATATTCCTGCCTCAACTCCTCCAGATCCTCGTCATCAAGACGACTAGAAGTCGACTCCGCACAACAAGTCAAGTAAGATTAATCACAACGAGTTTTCTTCTTGGGTATAGAAGGCGGAGTCACCTTAGACTTTCTATTCTTAGATTGGTTAGAGGAAATGGGGGTAAAGCTAAAGGAACCTGAGCCTCTACTAGAAAAGCTAAGGTCGAAACTTCAAGGGCGAACGCAAAAGTCTCCTCATCATGTTCCCTAGGAAAAGATTCTAAGTTTTTTGCCAAAGAAAGGAAAAATCAATCACCACCAACAGATGCGTTGCTAGCGGTGGGAACAAAAGCTCTTTCCTTAGAACGGCCACTAGAGGAAGTCGCGGTAACCTCCTCATCAACTTGCTCCTCAAACTCGAACTCAGAAGGAGAAACTACAACCCTCCCAATCGATGGCTCAGATCGCAAACCAAAGTGAATAGAAGGCAAATGCAAGACACAGTCTATTAAGAACAAGGGTTTTAGAGACCAGGTCCTAAAAAAAGATAACCTCAACAACGAAGAGTGGTCTACAAATTGCAAAAGAGAAGAAAAATCATCGAAATGATTCCTGAAGTAGCTAAATCTCCAAACCATAAAATGAAACCCAAAGCCCCACTAGGGAGCATTGAAGGGATCCAGATCGAGCAAAAAGAAGGAAGGGAAAGAAACGTACCTAGTCAGACACTAGAAGCAGAAATAAACTGGAAACGCGAAAACCTTAAATCGCCAAAGATCTTGGAACAAGACGCCTCAGAAGCCAAAGGAAGAAAAAAGGCAAGAAGAGATGAGGATTCAAAAACACCAAGTGGGAAAGACAAAAGGATTTTTCCTCTCTTTTATACTTAGCATTGATTTCCTGACAGAACATGACACAGAATGTGCGAAGGAATTCGTACAAAAAGACCCTCCTGCAACTGACACGTGCGCCTTTCCAAGCATAACCGTCCCATCACAGTAGACATAGGTTAGCCCAGCATGCCCTAAGAACAACGTCAGCAATGATGTGCAACCGTCACCTAGGGAAATCGTGCCAACTTCAAAAAAGACAATTTTAACCCCAGGTTAGAGTTGATGTCATCCTCGTGATCTAGGGCTGGGGGGCAACTGATAATGATGGGATTTGAAGATGGGTTGCCCAATCAAAAATCTCAATTCGCTCGAAAGGCCATTGTTTGTAAAACCACCCAAACAGCCCACCTACTTGTTCAAAGGGCAAATTGGGCCATAAGGAAGAAAGCCCATACACACCAGAGGTCCAAGGGTCCAACACAAACCTAATCCAACTCAATAGACGACCAATTCGGAGCCCAGGAGCTTGGTTCCTCGATTACCCCAAATTTCTCCCATCATACCACGTGTTTAGGGGACAAGGGGACCACTTCTAGCGCCTATAACGAACGCACAACCTGTGCCATAGAATATTTCAATACGTGTAACCATTTGAGGGACGTGGGTGCAATAGCTTACATGGCAGAGATCACTGCAGGACAAAAAGAAAAGGACACACAGAATCAGCATGAAAGAAGGCAAAAGACACCGGAAGCCATAGAGAGATTGCTTGTATAAATAGGACACTATTACATTGTAAAAGGGAGATTCATCGTCTTCCCCTCAACATCTATTACTAGCCACTCTTGGCAATTTGTATTCACAAAACCTTCTCCTGTAAAGGCTCAAGGCCAAGCAAAATCACTGTAACAATTCTCTTAAGAAATATATACCCCTAAAGAGCAAAAGACTCATTTATAGTGAGCAAAAGACTCATTTATAGTGGACATAACCTTAGTCTTTTGACTAAGGTGAACTACTTATATATTGTCTTTGTTTGCTTCTCACAGTTCGATCGCTTTTTGGACCTGTTTACCCACTATATCCCCTCACTAAATCCCCAAATATAGTTCTGGGCTTGGGCCAGTATTTCCGAGCACCGTCATATTCTATAACAAAGCATGAAATACAAAGGTTAACTGGAGAACAATGAATTAATAAGAAATCTATATCTATACTTTTAACACCATCCAGAAAATTTTATATTTACATATTTTGTCTTTAACCAATATTTCTATTCTCAACTATATCCTTTATCACTAGTGATTTGCACTGATCAAATTATATTAGTTAATTCCCCTATGATTCTCTTGCCCACATTTGGTGTTACGAGATCAATGTCCTATCATTAGAATGTTTATTTGGAAAGTTGTTATTCTTGATGATGGAGCCGTTTTTTTATCTTAGAAGCTCAGTGCCATGCAAGTTTCGACCATTTTAACTTCATATCTATATCAATAAAAGATTTTTGCTTTCATTTTTGGTTGGGTCTAACTAAATACTTTCTAAGTTTCTAAAAAATTCAACTTAAGAAACAGCGAAACTCCAACCATCCTAGAAAAGGCAAACAAACAAATCCCAAGATCCACCACTTCCACCCTACCCACCACCAAATCCCCAACACCTAGCCTATATCCAGCACCCACCCCAGCCCCACCAATCACCATCGTCCAGCCCCCAAAATCACCATGGCCAACCTGCATACATTGCCAATTTTGTGTGTGTGTGTGTCTCTGTGTGTGCGCTTGTGTGTTAGAGAGAGAGAGAGATACCTGATTGGGTGGCACCGTTTTTTGAACTTATTAATTGAATTTTTTTTTTTATAATGAACTTAATAATTGATTACACAGCCTAAAAGCTCACTAAAACAAAAAAAAACCACCACATCGCTACAATTGTACACTCAACATTAAGCCAAAGCAATAACACCTCATACGATGAGCTTCAACCATGGCAGAATCCCATCCGCCCTCTCCACAGTTAAGCACCATCAGACCCCAAAAATTGTGCTTCCAATCAAAGTCGGTGCAGAAGGTGAACTACCGATGAAATTGCAGTAGTAATCCTAACACCGCAATTCTGCAACTTTAATGAGGTGATCAGCAGATCATTTTTGCTGATCACCTTTGCTATTGTTGGAACAGGTTTCGTTCAGCTCGCGGAGGTCACTATCCGAGGTGTGGAAGATCCACAGAGTGCTTCGCTTTGGATTTGATGTTCAGTACATTTCAGTCAAAAAAAAATAGGTATCAAATGTGACACTGTTGCCTACCAAATCCCTTTGACGCTCAAGTTGATATATGTATAGAAGCTCAAGTCAAAAAATAATGCAAGTAAACGTGCATGGTTAGTGATAGTATAGTACATGATTGTTCTTAGGAATTAAGAGACACAGTGAGATGGAAGTTACTTGCCTTTATTTCTCATTTATGAGGGCTGTTTATAGGGATGCTTGTGGGTGAGTGTAGTTTTAGTTGTAATCATGATTTACAAGCATACGAGTTAAAGAGTGTTGTCTAAATAAAGGAGGCATGGTGACGCCTGGCTTGCGTGGACTTGAAGCTGTCGCAGGCGTATTAATTCCTCTTGTCCAATCATTTCAGTTTGTCATCTTACCCCGCCTCTGATTACAACTAATACTATCCTCACCCACAAGCATCCTGATAAATACTCCTCCTAAATCAGTAAGACAACTAACTTCCCTCAAAGTGTCACACTCGGATTCCCACATTCACATGTTGCATTACTTTTCGACCCGAGCTCACATGAAGTTACTGACCTGGGCGTCAGAGGGTCTATTTTCTTTGACAAGAATCTACAGGACATCAAATCCAACCCGAAGCTCTCTGTGGATCCTCATCCTCAACACCTCGGATCAAAACCTCCCCAAGCTGAACAAAACCTGTTCCAACAGCTATGATCACAGAAAAACACAATCTTATACAAACCAAGCTTCATACCAGATTCCAAGGTGGGATAACTGATGAATGAGCACCCCACTCGAGAAGCCAATTAACAGGTGCGACTCCATGGCATACCTCCACCTTGATAACTGTAACCAGTGCTTTCACCACCATTCCCATAACGTCTCCAACGCTGCTTCTTCACACTCTTCTCCTTCCTAAAGCCATTTTCTTGATGTCTGACCATTCCCAAATCCCCATTTTCCTTCACCTTTTTAACAACCTTCTTTTCTTTTGACGACTTCCTCTTCTTTCCAGAGGACTGAGCACTACTAGCATCCACAATAGCATTTCCTCGGGGCAGCGGTGGTTCTTCATCATCTATCTGCCAATTACAATAGATTCCCTGCTGATTACTACACTGTTGCTGCAATGGTTCTCCGGCCCCTGGAAGCAAGTTATTAAATGTCACCTCGCCATTAGGCCCCCCTTTTCGTTCCAACAGTACTTTATCTGGTCTTATTATGGTACCAAGAATGCTCCTGTTTGGGCCCAGGCCCAAAATGGTCTTCGCATTTGTCAGCGTTGAGAAAGCCATAGCAAAAGCAGATCTAACCTGCAGGAGCAAAAACCAATAGAAGTTGTCACAAATCAGGTCAAGGTATTCATGCATTATTATTATGGTTTTTCTTCAAAGCAAACAAACTGAAGACCAAATTGAGCTTCTTGTGACATTGAAGGCAGATTTACTTTGATTATTCTGATTTGTAGCAAGCAAATAGAGTAGACAAATTTAGTTAACAGTCAAAAGGAGGGCAGGCGAGTATAAAAACAAAATTGAGTTTCCACCCTAGCTCACTGAGCAAAAATCATGTCCTTGGTGGGAGTTAAAATAGCAAACCATAGTCATGACGTTGCTAAACTCCATATTAATTTTAACTGATAGTCACTTGGCAAGGAGAAAGAACTTCCCTTTTACAATCATTTGCCAAACAATATTACAATTACCCACTTGTGCAGGCGGAAAAGCAATTACTGTATTGATTCACCTGAAAGGAGTTGCACCAAGACAGTTCCAATAATCCATTTTTTCCGAATGCCAGCATATGTGGCATCATGAGATATTCAATGACAGGATTGCAACACGATCGCAATCACGAGCTCTAAAAAAATCATCGACAACCATATACCTGAGGCTTGTGAAACCCTAACACATGTCTTTGGCAATCTATTTTCCTAATACATCATTAATTCCTCAGAACAAATTATGGAGGAACAGATTGATTACATATCATTTTTTTTCCTAATTAGAAGATCATATATTCTATCTCACATATAATAGAAATTCAAAAGGCACAGATTGTCAGGATGATCCTCGTCCTCACGATAATTAAGATGACTTTATAGAGGCATTTTAATGCAAGTGTTGAAAAATGAAACCATGGAGGAACTCACCTGGAAATAGTTGAAGGAGTTCTTCCCTATGTCATTCTCTGGTGCCTATTTTACCAAAAATATATCACATCAATATTCAGTAGAAGACAATATTGTTGCTAGAGAGCAAAGGTCATCCCATGCCCCCATTTTACGGTTCATTCAGTCCAAAAGTGCAGCAATGCAAGCCCATCATTTTAACATAAAAAAAAAACCCTTGCATAACCACCTAGTTTTGAACTGAACAAACAGAAAAATTGGGGGTAAAGGTTACCCCAATCTCTCTTGGATCCTGCCTAGGCATCCCAGACATGCTACAGGGACATATCCACCCAACCAAGAGAAAGAAGCCCAGCTTTAAATCAAAACAAGAATAACAAACTTAAGAATATCAAGTGTTCCGGTCAGAATACACCCCCATGGATGTGCTCTGAGACTTCTAAATATATCCCTCTGGAAAAAACATAGCCAACAAAATATAACTTTGCAAGTAACCTGTGGGTCCTCAATGGAGATAAGAAATGGTCGTGCTTTAATTGAAAACCTAAAGGAGGAGGAAAGACACAAGGAAGCAATAATCAAATTTTGAGAAGTTATTTATGGCATGACCAGACTCAGACACAAGTTATATGTATATCACAAAGATCTCTCACCCTTTACAACTCTTCAGGAAGAATGTGCCTCCCACACTGCAAGATACACCAACGTCGCATGTATTCAGTTTGCGTCCATAAATGTCAAAAAAGTTGACCTGGCAATAAATACCAACATAGTGAAAACGTGGAAATTCATAAAGTTACAACTTATATCATTTCTTATGATGATATGCTAAATAGAACTATCAAACTTAGACAGGAATGTCAATGCTCAACATATCAAGATAAAAAATACATGCCACCTCAACAACTTGGCCAAACAAAAAAGCAAAAAATAAGCAATCTAGTTGCTAGGGAAATCATACCAAAAGCACTCCCAGGTTACGTTCAGGAGAAGCTTGGCAATCACTGAGACTCTGCATGATAAAATGCATAAGAAAAAGCAAGAAATCATTAGAAGATCAAAGATGTTAATCAATAGGGCATAAGGAACTGATAATTGATTTTATTCAACAATTTATGTAAGATGAAATTGGCTTTGAAGTGGTGCACAAAAATATTTTTTTTTTCATATTTTGAATGGCAGACCAGAACATCTTCAAAGCAACAAACTGCAGTAAAAGATCTCTCGAAAAGCAGCTAAATTATTTGACAAACCAGTGTCTAAAGATGATTATCACAGAGGACTACAGCTCCAAAGGCAGCACAAAAGACGTCAGTCAGACAGTGTTTAATATTTTCATCTCATCATTCAATCTCAAAAACACATCCCTGGGTAAAACCTCAAAAACTCAGGTTTCACCAAGGCTGCTCGTTTCCTTCACTCTAGCAACCTCATGGACCTTTATTTCCAGTGAGCGAACAATTTGTAGGCCTACCTTCAATCAATATTCTAGTAACCATAAATCAAAAAAATTATAAGCATAGCCGGAAATTCTCGAGTTAGTGTGTATCTAGGTACACAATCCTCTTAGAATTACCAGATGAATGAATAATAGCACCATATATTAAAGGGAAGCTTACACAGACTAATAGTCCAACACCAAGATTCTATTACATCAGAAAAATTAAAAATAAAAACATAAAATATAATTCTTACAAAGATATGCACCAAAGATAATTCCACGTCATTTTGGAAAATTGTTGAACATCTGGCAGACATCCACAATTCTCAAAAAAGTTGTCACTTTTAATCTGTCCTGAATGTATTCATAAATAGAGGTCTTAACTTTTTTCTTTTTCACCAAAATGCTTGAAATTTGGACTGGTAGTTAAAAATTTTAGGGCATTTGTAGACACGTACGACATACCTTAAAAAGTAGAAAAGTACCTTTCCTAACCAAAGAGAAAAATTGATAGCAACAAAAAAAGATTTTGGTGAGGAAAGGAAGTGGAGAGGGAAAGGAGGAGCGCACAACTCGTCATTATACATAGCTCAAGTCCGGGAATCAACCACTCAAAAAATGGAGGTAAGCTTACCTACCACTAATCTTTCCCCCACAAGCAATATGCTGGAGCCTTGTGTACTGGACACGACTTTTTTTTTACAACATGATCAGAAAAGATTGAAAATCAGTCTTAACTATTTTTCACAATATGTATTGAAAAACTAACATCCAACAGAAAGAGAATGGTATTGGTTGTCTACTACTTTATATAGAGAATGTTAGGATAGTAAGTCTTCTGATCAGTGACGCTTTTAGGATAGTATCAGACAATAATATTCAAAAAAAAAAAAAAGACAATGTAACAACGCTACAGGTACAGTGTATCATGTTCATGTTGTACTTAGTAGTCTACTTGTCATCCGTCAATCGTTGCAATCACTTTTTTCTTGAAGGGTAACAATTAACAAACCACAAAGAAGTGCCAAAGACAGCAAGCAGCCCAAGTCCAATTGTGCTGTACACAGATAGAGACCTCCGAAAAAAGAAAACAAGATAAACTATCCAAAGTACATACAAATTCAAAATTGATTCAATCAGGAGATTATTAACTTTTTTATCATTTCATCGGCTTCATGTTCCAAATTAAAACTTGCCAGATGTAGCACAATGTAGTCACATTATATTCAACATTCCACAACAGATTCTAATGCCAATTACCTGCATCGTTGCTATGAGCATCGTAAGGAGCGCATAGGAACCAATTCCACCAGAATATACCTTCATAACAAGAGGAGTCCAATATGAGGCAGATTCAACCGAAAGGTGGCCAACACATTAGCTACAACAAAGTGAAAATAAAACTACACCTCATTCAACTCTCTTTGTTGAAGAAAAACTTTCAATATCAGACACAGGGGCCGCAATGGAGGCCACTTACATACAGCATCCTGAAAAGAGAACCATATATATTAGTAAATCAAAACAACGTAAATAACATTCAAGTATAGTATCTAAGAAACGAGATATTGAATAAACCTCTATAAACTCAGCAGCTTTTGGTCCATTTTGCACATCGAAACTGTGACCAAGAGAAATAAATCAACCGAAGCACTTCTCAGTATAAGAATAACATGTAATTTGACATAAGCGAACAAACAATAATATACTCATTGACATGCATTAACATGAAAACATAGGCAAAGAATGCTACTTAATGGTCCTGGACATTTTGCAAAGCAGCAAGGCCCAATATGCTTAGAAAATGATGCACTGAATTTTGTAACTATTCTGAGACTCAAACCATAATATACTTTTGGCATGCATTAAGACGAAAACCTAGTCTACGTAATGGCCTTGGTGGTTTGCAAAGCAGCCAGGTCCATACTTAGAAATTGATGCACTGAATTTGCTGCTATTCTGACACTCAAGCCATCAACCATTATATATCCAAACAATGTTGTGCACTAAAAACTTGATAGTAACAAGTTTGTTGACAAAAAAAAAGTAGAGAGAATAGTAAACCATAACTCAACTGAAATGTACTATGCGTATTGACAATATAACCTAGAAACAGTTTAAGATAATCATTTTAGGTCCAAACAATACTGGGTCAATGACCATCAACATCTTCGCATAATATCTCCTTCGAGATATCAAACTGTAACTTTTCTGAACTTTGGGGCTCATGAACTATTCAAATCAAGGATGCAACTGTACAGACAGAAAACCAAAGGAAGGAAAAATGTGTCATAAAAAATAGAATAGGCAGTTAGGCACTACAAACCTTATATCGAATGCAACACCACTTCTCTTCTCCACAAATTTGATAATTGGCACACGAGCCTTTGCAATCACCTGATATAGACAAAGAAAACTTTAGACAATAAAAAATGACAAAATAACAAAACAGCTGGTACAGAAAATAGTAAGATGGTAAAATTGAAAATCCTGATATTCTAAATTGAAAATCCTGATATTCTAACTGTTTAAAGAGGCACACCTGTATCTTCTTTGCAATGCCCCTTTGGGATAGGGCTCTAGAAAGAGCATGTAAGCCAATTTGAGGACTTTTGATGTCTGACCCCAAAATTACAACCTGAAATTCAGCAATCAGCCTCTTGCTTAAGTTTAATATAAATCTTCAAAATATCTTGAATAGATTCATTCCTCAGCACATAAAGAAAAATCATGCTTACGAGTAAAAGAATCCGTGAATTTCAGGAAAATATGTCATAATCAAAACAAATGAAATTTATTCTTGCAACAAATGTGATTGCTTGAAACCCTCAACTTTCTTTTTAGCAACAATCAATATCTTCCACATTAATCATTAGGATTCCAAGAGATAATTAAATCACATACTTTTCTTTGAAGAAATTACTAGTTCAAATGGCTTAACTTTCTTGGTTCTGAAATAAACCATAACACTGATGCAAGTTGTACAACTACCAGCAATGGGACTACATTACGGTAGAAATGACTGTCCCTAAATTTCTTACTAATAAATAACTAGCAGGAAGAAACAAACTTACATCAATATCACTAGATGGAAGATAAAGGCCTGTTTTGAACGACCCAAAAACTTCTGGCTGCAATGCAATACAAAAAATTTAACATTTAACGATCTTGACCTATTCAAAAAAAAAAAAAATCTATATATGACAGGAAATCCAGGGAACATACCTTACAGTTAGGCCAGATATATCTAATTACACCAAAGACACTCTCTACAGCTGCAAGACGGATAGCTTGCTCCTCTGGAGTTGGAGAGAGGAAATCACAGAAATCCAGTATCTCTGCAACATCCTTGGTCAGGAAACAAGCCACAAAAAACACTCCTAACAAAATTGTAGTACACTGATTCCTGAAATTACTACGGTTGCCTCAAAGCAACAAAACAACAAATCAAATCATGTCATTTGTGCCAGGGAAACTCGGGTCTTATCCAATATCCACATGCCTAAACATTATTGGAATCCGACCCTACAACCCAACAATTCTTCAAGTAGCTCCTATAAAGGTAATGTATTTATATGAATAGGTAGAACGTTAACAGCATTGGAACTCAACCAAATATCAAAATAAAAGTAAAAATCTCCAACAAACAGCAGTTGAAATTATCAACCCCTTCATAGTAATCAGTTTAGCTTCACAATCAAAGTCAATATTGTCATAGAAATTGCCAACTAATTCTAAACCACCAGCACGTTTAAAAACTTAAAATATGAGTACACAAGGTTCTCGTTTAGTATCAAAGTAAAACAATCTACAGCAATATTGATACCTTTGTGTAGCTGAAGCATGGGGCTCTTGAACCGACAATTGGCCCGAAACCAATTCCCCTCAAGCCTCCGCTCCGTTTCCCGAATCGGTGTCGGAGACGGAGTATAAATCAAAGGCTCGTTCGGTTCCTCGGCGACGGCGTCGACGTCGAGAGAGAAGTAATCGGGTGCGGCGACTTCCAGTGAGGGGTATCGAATAGAAGATAGAGAAATTTGATTACGCAACACGACGTAGGGTTCGGAGTCGTCGGAGGACGGCGGCGGCGGCGCTGGCTGGTCAGCGGTGGAGAGGGGGCTTAGGGCATCATACAAAAAGGGCTCGTCTTCCATTGTAGATTAACCGTACGGAGAGATTGTGGAAGGGTTTTACTGCTTAAGAGACGGTCCCAGCATTGGGGCTTGTAAACCCTAGCCTATATCAATGGGGTTTTAATTTGGGAAATTTACACAAAATCCCCCCTAATGTCTAGTATAATAAATTAGGACAGTCCCTCCTTTGGTTTGTAAACCAATTTTAATCATACTAGATTATTAATATATAAAAAGGTCTTTCAACATTTTAAAAAAGTTGTATGTGGGTCCCTATGACGACGCTAACAAATAGGAGTTGGATAATTAGTATATTTTTATTACCTATTTTGCCCTCTTCACATAATTTGAGCCAAAAATACACTTAATTTTTTTAATTGTTTGTTATTGAGGATTTTGTGGTATTGTATATCAGTTTTAAATTTCAAATTGGTAAACCAAGCAATTTGAAAGACCTTTAACTTATATCTAGTAGGTACATTAATTATATCGGAGCAGTTAAGATTATATAATTGTATATCTATAATAACGTATATGTATATTCTTTTCAAGTAAATAACGATGTACGTATCTTGTGAATATATTTAATATTTGTATATTGTACCTTAAAGATCGTGTATGATATTCATCGTATATGTTATGTTGTTTATGTATGTTTGCGTTTAACATATGTGTAATGGCATATATGTAATTTTATTTTGTGTATTTGTTATGGTGTATATGTATATTCTTCTCTATTAAAGAATGATGTACCTATATTGCATATATATATATTCGTATAATGTACTTGAATGACCTTGTATTTTTTTTGTCGTGGATTTATATGTTGTGTACCTATGAAACACTTAAATATTAATTGTGTACCTATTGTGTTTGTTAATGCAGTTTTTTTGTATGTGTGATCATGAATTTTTTGAGCATCATTACCTTTCATATTCATTTTATTAGTTTTGCTAAGGATGGATACGTAACCATTGTGTCAAAATTTTGATTATTTGTTATGTACATATTGTTCATTTGTATGTATTTTGACGGTTTGAATATTTCTTTGTTAGGGGATGGAAGGAATTGTCATTGCGAGGTCTACGTTTGATTTTGTTACTTTTGTTGTTGTTCTCAACAATTGTAGTACGTATGAGGATCTTTGTAATGAGATAACTTTCAGTTTTGAAGGTTTAAAAGGATCTGTTTTTAGTGTAAGTTATTGTATAAATGATAACCGCAAATATTTGGTTAAATCTGATAAGGATGTTAGACTTATGATGTTGTCTCAGTCATTTACAAATTCAAAATTCATTGATCTATACGTATTGCATAACAATGTTCAGTCGAGTCAAGTGAGTGATGGAAACAATGTAGATTTGTCTGTGTTTTGTGAATGAGACAATATCTTCAAATGATAGTGAATTTTTGGGTAGATTCAATCATACAGTGAAGAGGTCACACCTATCTGATTTATGGAATAATTATATTAGTCGTTTGGGACAGAAATTTGAGAGCAGCGCAGTTGATTTGCGAGACAAGCTGTGTAAGTATGCGATTGAGCTTGACTTTGGTTTATTTATGTTAAGAATGAAAGGATAAGGGTAATTACAAAGTGTATTAAGAAGATAACTGATGGCTATAATTGGCGAGTTCATGCTTTAGTGTGGCACGCAAATGGTATTTTCTATATTAAAATTTTGGAAAATGTCCATTCATGTAGAGGTGTTTATCGTGAGCAAAAGGGTGCACAATGATGCAATCTAATATTGTCTCATCTATTTTGGTTAAGCAAATCAAAGATAAACTATTGATTAAGCCAATTGAGATGGTTAAGGATTTCAAGAAATACTATGATTTGGATATTCTCTACCATAACACTTGGTATGGAAAGGAGATGACAAAATGTCAAGTCCATGGTGATGAATCATTGTCGTACAATCAGTTGAGTTGGTATATGAATTCTATGATGCGAACAAATCCGGGTTGTAATTTTTTTTTAGAGTGTGATCCCCAAAGTTCCTGCTTCACAAGATTATTTATTTCGTACGCAACTTATATACAAGGATTAAAATATTGTTGGACTATATTATTACTTGATGGTACATATTTGAAAAAGAAGTACATTTGCTTGTTGTTATTGGGAAGAATGGCAACCAATGTTAGTAGCTATTGCTTATGTAACTGTTGTTGTTTGTTGTTTAATTTAGGTATTGGTTGTTGATTGAGTATGTTGTGAATATAGTTGATGCTTGTCAAACATTTTTAAATATATAAATTTATGTAACTATTAGCAATGCACCACGTGCATCACACGTGAATAGTTTTTATACACAAAAATTAATAAAACATATTAAGTATATGTGTATTTGAATTAGATATCATCTCAAATTTATCAAACTTAATTTTTCATTACTTATAATCTATTATAAGATTATGAAAACTTTGTATGTTCCCAAAATTCTTTGTTCTAATTATTAAAAAAAGATAAAAAAGAAATTGTTAAAGTTCTATATTTTTAGAATTTTGTAATTGAGATTGATTTTTTATTGATGTTTGAGAAATTAAATTTTTTTAAATTCATTTGATTAAGATTCAACTTATAATTTCTTGAATAAAATAAAAGTAATTATCAATATATATCTTAATCACAATAGAACCTTACTATGATTAGAAATTAGTTAGGTTAATTGGGATAAGATTTAATATACTACTCTATAACATATAGTATCAAGCATATTAAAATTCAAGTTTTACTGAAAAATAAACTAAAATATCTATTTTACATCAAATCTTAGTACAACTTAGAAAGTTAATTGTGACTGAAGAATTAAACTGATGTAACATAAATTGATTTAAAAAACTATATATACTATTATTTTTTATCTTAGAAATGAAAGAGTTAAAATTTTCGATGAAAAAGAAAATATATATATATGTTTGTGTGTGTGTGTGTGTAGGTATAATGTTATATTTGCATATGGTTAAGAAATATTTGATTGATAAAGTTTTTGAAGATTTTTTGATCACTTTCTTGAAAATATAATGATGCATATTTTTTTAAGTGCAATATAGTCAATTAAAAACTTTTATAAAAATTGATGTTTATACATAAAGAATAGATAATTAAAAGAAATGAAGATTTAAATACATAAGGATATGATAGTAATTTAGATATTTAATTGTGAAATGATAAAGTAGTCTTTGCAATCCTTTATAAAGGGTAAAATAGATATTCAAAAAATTTTGATCTCAAGGTACTTTTATTAGTAGTAAGAAATATTATACTGATAAAGTTTTTGAAGATTTTTTGAATACTTTATTGAAAATATAATGATGCATATATTTTTTAAGTGCAATATAGTCAATCAAATTTTTTATAAAAATTGATATTTATACATAGAGAATAGATAATTAAAAGATGTTATACATAATTTGAAAATTTAAATACATAAGGATATGATAGTAATTTAAATATTTAATTGTGAAAGGATAAAGTAGTCTTTGCAATCTTTTATGAAGGATAAAATAGAGATTCAAAAAATTTTCATCTTAAGGTACTTTTATTAATAGTATAGATTTGTATCATAGATACATTATTTAAAATATATTTATGTGATGACTACGTGTGTTTATTCTTTAGGATTTTACACATTAGCATTTACATATGTTGATTCTGAGAATGAGTGTAACTAGAGTTGATTCTTAGAGATTTTAGCATGTATTTTAATTCAAAAAGGAAGGTTGATCACGTTCATATCTAACTGGAAAAAGGACCTTTGTTGCATAGGTTTTTGGCCAATTTGCCTTCTGAAAATTGGTCCAATGCATAATTTAGGGGTCAGCGTTATAGGGAAATGTGTTCAAATGTGACAAAGTCATTTAATGCTTGAATTGTTGAGAAACGATTTTTGCCTGTTTGTCGTATGGTTGATGGTGTATATATAAAGATAATGATAATATCAAACAGGAATGAGGAATGCAGTTAGTGGACATCAATTCAATGGTTGAAGTATGAGAAATTGTTGAATGAAAATTTGTCAATGGGAAGACATTGAAATGTTAGTCGTTCTAGTGAGTTTGTGTTTGAGGTTCATGTAAAGGATTTCAGTGATGGTTGACTTGCAGAACCATTTTTGTTCGTGTTGTCTATGGTAGATTAGAGGTTTTTCGTGTGTGCATGCCTTAATGACGATTTAGAAGAAATCAGAATATGTATATGATTACATTGAGGACTATTTTAAGACGGAGTTCTGTAGACTTAGTTATTTCAGCTCCATTAATCCTATTCCTGATATAGAAAAGCCTAAAGAGGATTCAACATTTGAAATTTTATCAGACCTCCCATTACAAGAAAGCCACTAGGCTGATCAAGGAAGACAAATGAAGTGTGTTAGATGTTGGTTTGTTAGGATGACATAACAGAAAGACATGTACTATTGCGATTTGACCGTCAAATTCACTATTTTTATTTTTATTTTTGTATCCAATAATTGATATTGTATCCAATAAATTGGGTTTCATTGTTTTGATCAAACTGATTTTTTTTTTTTGTGGTCTAATAAATATGTTTTTAGTTTTTTTTTTGTAATGTACCTTGTTGAGATATACCCTATGGATTTTCTGACATAAATACATGATTTATTGGTGAGTCATTATTTGTGACAATGTACATTATCCATAATGTTCTCTTATTCAGGTATATTATCCATAATGATTGATGTTTATCCATAGGTACAAAGATTAAACAGGTACATTAAATCCAAGTAAAACATATTGTAGCCACAAAGTTAATACGAGAATAAAAATACATAGGTACACATTAGGTTAGGGTCTCCATGTCCTTGTGTTGTTGAAGAACACACTCACAGTTTCAACCCTCATATTTCAGTGACAATCATCCTCCCACCGATCGAGCGGTCGTTTGCGAATCAGAGTTTTCTTATATACTAAGACTACCTTTATTCCGGACCTATAAACAGGGAGAGCATTTTCCACAAATAGCTTAAGTCTCTTGCAAGCTTTCTAAGAGAAAAATTTATTTTTCTACCTTGAGAGCTTCCACTAGAATCTAGATTCCTAAAACTAAAGGCTACTAGAGATTCTATCCAACCTCACAATTTAAAGAAGAAGATTTTGTTGGTGATAAATCCATTGGTATGTACATCCCGGGAATCATTGG